AGAAGTTTCAACCCTGAGTTGTCAGTTTCTCCATGTCTGGGAAATGCCGGCTGCCTCTGTGCCTGGGGAAATGCCTGTGGCCTCCATGCCTGGGGGAAATGCCTACTTCAAGTAAAACCCTACTCTTAAAGCACCTCTGGGAAGACTTTACCATAGAATAGCTTTTAAACCTTAGGGTCCTGATAGCTGCATAATGAGTCAAACCTGAAGGCAAACCTGGAGGGTGCTTGGCAGCAGATGGAGGAAACCGCTGCTTTGCTTAGTAGGTCAGGAGGCCTATTTCAAGATATGGGGCTTTAGGAAAACTAGATCTTTTGTCTGTTGACTTCTTCAACATTGCTTCATTCTTATCTTGTTCCTAAAATTTTTGCGTGGTCAAGAAGGAGTGAGAGGGAAAATACTTTTTAAAGAATAAAAAGGGCAAAATAGAATAAAATGCAATTCTTCCTCAGCCGTGCTGTCTTCTGCAATAATCAGGCTTAGCGGCAGGTTCTAACTCTTTCTCCCCATGTCCCAGGGTAGAAAGTGGCTCTCTGGGTGACAGATACACGGTGGGACCATGGGCATTGCCATGTGCCCACAGACCCCGGGGTGGGCTGAGGTGCCACTGACAGCAGTTGCTGATGCCAGAGGCCGGGTCGAGGACCTCACCTGCAGCAGAAACCAAGAGCTGTGTGTAGTCAATAGCCCAATCCACCAAGCTATGCCATGAGCAAAGGACACGTTTATCCTCGAGTAAAAATTGCGATTCAGGACACACCAGGAGCGAGCCCAAGGTGTATTCTCAGAAGGGACAGAGGAGGGGCATTTTCAGAAGGGTGGCCTTGACCTTCATCCCTGTTTCAAAGCTTTGTTGGCTGATAGGGCTGCAGGTGGGAGCTGGAAGAGTTGGTCTGCCTCCTGGCACTCAGAGGTGGTCTGATGATGGGGACCCTGGAGAGCCTGCAGTGCCCCTCTCGCATACTCAGTCAACTTACCTTTCAAGGTGAATTGAAGAGACAGGTGGGTGCCTGTCTGGCTTAGGCAAGTTCCACATCTTTGTGGAGCTGGACCGTGAGCCTTCTCCTCCCTCCAGTGTGGGTGCTCGTGGCTCTCAGGTCTGTGGACTCCAAGGCCCACAGCACCAGGGTCACTGCTCGCTGTAGAATGGAACCCTAGGAGCTTTGAAGTGGAGGAGCACCTGGTCTCCCTCCAGGAAGACCACTGATGTCCCCTTGGCAAAGCCAAGTCGGTTCAGAGACAAGAGTATTGTGCCTGATCCCATCAGGGTGGACTTCAGAGGCCGAGACTCTTCTCTCGTTTTTTATTTGTTTGTTGTTTTTATTTAGCCTGTATAAAACTAACTTAATGAAGAATATATTCAGGGTTCCACATCATAATTAATGCAAGACAATGAGAGTATTATATGGCGAAGGTCATAGGCCATGGTCAACTGCACGTCTCAAAAGCATCTGATACCGGTGAAGAAACTGCAGATCGGTGACTTGCTCTGATGCACCAGAGGAGCCACAGAGGTCCTCTGCCTTGGACCTCCTCAGGACTTGGTACCAGAACAACCAGAAGGCCCGTACCTGGTGTGGCCTAATTGGGTTGTAGATCAGTGTTAGGGAGCAGAGTGTCAGCTTCTGGGTTTAGAGCCACATTGCACAGGAGAGGGCCGTCCACACACCCACCCCATACAGCCCTCCTACGTGGCCCCCAGGGGTGTAGCAGCTGGGGAGCAGGAGGTGAAATCACGAGAACATGGACTTTGTGGGAGTTTCACCCCAGGACCTAATTGAGGTCTTGAAATAAGTTTCAGCCAACTTTGTTATACACAGTTTTTGGGCCCCAAATTATGTGACTAGCCTTAGAAAAATTGAATGAACCCCAATATGCCAAGTTTATTAAATCTTGCTAAATTTTTCATCATTTGTAATGGATTTTAGTATGATTATAAGATTTTAAAGCTATGAGCTTTGCTTCATGATTTATTTGGATGTTCCACTAGCTGAGCTTGAGTGAGCTCATGAGTGTCCAGTAGGCTGAGAGCTTCCAGCAGGGACACTGAGGGGTCTGTTGAAAACCAGTTGCTGTGTGGGCAGGCCAAAGGATGTTTTCCCAGTGTGGCCTGCACTCGAAGTGTGGGCAACTCAGAGGAGAGGTGCCTTTTACATTTACTTTCCTTTAACAAACATGATTTATGTAAACATCAGGAGGAGAGAAACAGCCTCAGTGAAGGTCTGCACCCTGGCCATGGTTAGTCTCCTAGCAGGACTCTATCACGGGTATAAAAATGTCATCATGCAGAGAGCCTGGAGTCCTGTCGTGATTATCTTTGCTGCTCAGAGACAGTATTTGAGTCAATGAGATTTAGTTAACATTCTCATAAAATGATCTCTCAAATTTTGAGAGTAAATCATACCCTTACTTTTTATCCCCTGCTGGGATCATGTCATTTATTGGGACAGATGGTAGGAAGAGGTGGGCTGTGTGGCATAGGTGTGTTACACTTTTAGGAAAGCTAATTTTCAAAAAATGCTGCCAAAGAAAAATGGAATCGAATCACGGTCTTAAAGCCTTTTGCCAACAGACTCAGCGACTCTTGTGCTTCCTCCACAAAATCCCTGCCAAGCCAAGTTCCTCCTTGCTGCCTGCCACCCTCTAGTTGTCAGAGACCATGACCTCCTCCTGCTTTGGGTCTCAGGCTTGGAACAAACGGGTGAATTGCCTTCCCGCTGGCTTAGGTGCTGGTTAGATAGAATTCCATTTTAGAGTTATTTCCATGCATCTCTGATCATCAGAATATCCTTCCTCCATGCCCAACTGGAACCATAACTTCTGTGACGTGGGTGGTTTTGCTTATAACAACTCTCCTTCTTTTTTTTTTGCAAAACTAAACATTCACATTTTCCTGCTTCCTGATGCTGCTGCATGTATGTTATTTAGCAGACTGTCACCATCACTCATGTGATTCTGTGTGTCACCATCATGCATGTGATTCTGTGTGTGCTGCCAGGGTTTGGATGTGAGGTGTGCCCTGAAAGCTCCCACTGATGCAGGTGTGCTCAGAGGTGAGGTGATTGGACTGTGAGCTGTGACCTAATCAGGCCACCCTCGTTTGAATGGCTGGGTGGTAACTGAAGACAGGTGGGGGGTGGCTGGAGGAGGTGGGCCCCTGGGGCTGCCCAGGAAGGGTGTACCCATCCTGGGTTCCTTTGCACTTCCTCTCTCTCTACTTCCTGACCCTGCCATGAGCTGGGTAGCTCTCCTGCCCCGGGCCCTTCCCCCATGATGTGCTGCCCCACCTCGGGCCCAGAGCCACGGAGCTGGCCATCTGTAGATTGAGATCTCTGAAACTGTGAGCTCCAACTAAACCTTTCCTCCGCTGAGCTGTCCTTGTGGTCACAGAGAGGCAAAAGCATGCTAACTCACTGCTCCAGCCTCTTTCCCTCTCTGAATGCCAGGCATGAAGTTAGCCAGGGCATCCCTGGCGCTGCTGGGCGTGTGTGGACAAGATGGCTTCAGACACTGAGGCTCGGAGCAGTGGTTCCTGACCCCTGGGGGACACGGTCCTCCTTTGAGAATCTAAGCTCTGGAATCTCCACACAAAAATGCTCAAGTTGGAGGATGAACGTGTTTGCATATGATTCCAGTGGACAGGAGGACCTGCTGTAGTTCACTCACAAACTGTGCCTGGGGGCAGCGTATGAAGAATAATCCGGGAAGCGGCTGGGTGGGCATGGTGTTCCACATCTAGAACCCTGGTGGACCAAGACAAGAGGATCACAGGTTTGAAGCCAGCCAGGGCAACTTACCTCTGTTTCAAAATGTAAAATAAAAAAGACTAGGGGTGTAAGTGGTAAAGCATCCCTGGTATCAGTCCCTAGGACCCAACGATAATAATGATAATCAAAGAATAATTACCTAGACCTTTGCTTCATATCAGGCATGAAGCAAAGAATTTGCACATGTGGTTGAGCAAAACACATTTTCAAGATTCAATTTTGAAACCACTTTTCAATTATATTCACAGATCAGTTTTTTCAGAATCCAATTTCATTTTTTAAAATATGCACTTAGTTGGCAAAGTGTCCTGAGCTGCCTCGTTGGACAGGTTGGGGCTTTCCCATGAAGTGCCCTTGAGCTCCTAGAACCCTGGGAGCCTCGGGCTGGCCAGGTTCCCTCCTGCTGGCTTTGGTTGGATGAAGAGTCGCTTGTGTGGCCATGTGGGAATGATTGAGATTGTCCAGAAGTGAAACAGGCATCCGTTGTGACCACTGCCCCTGATGGAATTGTCTTGATGCTTCTTTGGGAATTGACGGCATCTATGAATGTGTGGAAGTGACAAGGGGGAAGGGGCAGGTGTCTGAGTGTTCCCTGGGGCCAGGTGACAGGGCGGGACACTTTAGAAGCAATGCTGGCCCATGACCACGAGCTTTGGCCTTATTTCTGCCCTCCCATTCCCTATCTTAGTGGAGTCCACCCCTCCCACTGCCTCCTGAGGGCCGCTTCTCCACACACACCTTTATTTGTCACTCATTCTGGTCACAATGTCCGGTGAGTCATGTGTTTTGGAAGTGGGTGGACTGGGTGTGATACTATGAGTGTCCTTGGGAGCAGAGGTTGTGTCATGCTGGGCAAGGGGGTCCCACACTGAGCTTTCCTCCTGCTTTGCAGCTCAGCACGCTCTTTCTGTTCAGCCAGACAGGGGCAGGTTGTGGGACGATCTGGTCAGGTTACAGAGTGGTGGGCCTCCCAGGAGTCTGGCCTCCACGGATGGATCCTACTGACCTAACGGCACCAGACCTAGAGTCTCTCAATTCTCTTCTGTTTGAGGGATGAGGGGGACAGTAGACACATGTCACTTAAAAACATTTTATCTTCTGGGCCTGGAAGTCGCTCAGTGGAAGAGCATGTGCAAGGCCCTGGGTTCCATCCTCAGCACCAAAACCCAAAGCACAACCCATTTCCCGCTCCCCGGCTTCAGCTCACCTGTCCCCCTTTCTTTCCCTTTGTAGGTTATGGCCACACCGTGCCCCTGTCTGATGGGGGCAAGGCCTTCTGCATCATCTACTCCGTCATAGGCATCCCGTTCACCCTCCTGTTCCTGACGGCCGTGGTCCAGCGTGTCACCGTGCATGTCACCCGCAGACCTGTCCTCTACTTCCACATCCGCTGGGGCTTCTCCAAGCAGGTGGTGGCTATCGTCCACGCTGTCCTCCTCGGGTTCATCACTGTGTCCTGCTTCTTCTTCATCCCGGCTGCGGTCTTCTCCGTCCTGGAGGACGACTGGAACTTCCTGGAATCTTTCTATTTTTGTTTCATCTCCCTGAGCACCATTGGCCTCGGGGACTACGTTCCTGGAGAGGGCTACAACCAGAAATTCAGAGAGCTCTACAAGATCGGGATCACCTGTGAGTATCACACCCAGGCTGCCCCTCAGGTCTGTCTTACCACCTGCACTCCACCCCCCAGTAGTCACCCAGAAGCGCTCGGGGTGCTTCCTCGTGGGTTAGCTGGTCTTCCACTTTTGCCATCTTCCCATGATATTTTCTTTCATGATTCCCATAAAAATTCTTTCTGCAGAACACTTATTACCTATTTATTTTCCCCCGGCACCTTACAACTACTGATCAATAATGTTTAGGCCTTAGACAGTGCTGTATTAAAACAAGCCACACAGGACATGCTTGATGCCCAACTTTTAATGAAGCAAGTTGCTCTACTCTGTTAAGTGAGCACAAGGGAGTGAGGCCTTGGGTAGAGCCCACCACTGTTTACCAGGAATTTCTTAAAATGGTCATTTATCTCCTTTGTCCATCTGGTTCTTTTTGAAGAAATTATTGGATGTTGAATGTTTCCAGAATATTATATGGAGAAAATAAAATAGGCATGAAAATTCAAATGGCCAGTGACTCATAACTTTTTAAATAATTTCAGTTTTAAATTTTATGTAATATCTGGGAAAATGCAGTCACCCACTTGGAGAAGCTGCTTGCTGTGCGGCCTTCCCTGTCTCCCAGGATGCACACTTGTGCAGTCGTGATGGACACGCGGTTCCCATTTCTGCCCCCTCCAGGATCTTCCCATTTGTGACTCGCTCAGCCCATGTCCTCTAGGAGATCAGAGTGGAAACTCCGGCACTCATGTGTGCCTGTCCTGTCATCTCAGTGCCACAAATGCTTAGTTGAACTGTGTCTGTATTAACCATTACATTAAACTGTGGGCTCACCAAGAACAGGGATGTCACTCAAGAGTCTGCAGAGCTTCCAGCAGTGCCAGGTCACATGCAGCTCAGCAGGCGCGGACCCATGTTTCCCCATCTCCTAAGTGTTGTTTGCGGCATCTGTGATCCACCACGGGGCCACGCCATCATCTCTCCATGTCTCTGTTGTTGACTATTTAGGTGGCTTCTAATTTGGGAGTGTTATAGATAACATTACAGAAGACACTTTTTAAAATACTTTTTGAACTTTCATGTATTTCCAAGAAGTGGCATTGCTGGCCCAACAGGAATATGCTTTTCTGTGGCCCAGAACATATTGTTCCGGGCTCTCCGAATGGTGTTATGGGTCCACACAGTCACCGGCTCTATCTGAGCCCAATGGTTTCAGTCCTTTTGGGGCGGCCGTGGCCAGTAGAGTTATAGTGCTGTTTTTTCTGTAAGTGAATTTGATAGCAAAATAAACATTATCTTAACTTTTTTTCATGTAACAGATAATTATCTTTTATTTTCATGACTTAGGGAAGTATAATATTTCTGATTATACTTACCAGCTACACTCTTTTCTTGGATGAATTGTCTTCTCGGTTTGTCCAACAGTTTCTCTTCTTCCGTTTTTCACGTAGTACCAAATCCTTGCATAACGTTTATCTCTTGTTACAATGTGGACATGTTTTTTAGGTAGTCTACCTAGTTTATGGAGTCTTAATTTAGCTTAAGAAGTAATTGCTGTTACTAAACTTCTTATTCTGTAGTGGAAATAATGATAAGGATATTGCATGCTTTAAAAAGGTGCCCATGGTAAGTTGCAAGCATTCCTAACATGCCACAGGCTTTGTGATCCTGAGTTAGGGCAGAGGTGGAGCCCTCCCGGTGGGAGGACACACTTGGAGGGGCCCCATTAGCGCCAATATTTTTTTCCCTCAAAAATTGCAGCCTGTGATTTGAATAATTCCAGCTGTTAGAAGGGTAAACCCCTCTTCACCTCCTTTTCTGTGCAGTTCCTCTTTGAGCCATGGTCTTCAAACTTTCCTAGAAACAAATCATCCCATTCTGTAGCTTTTCTGTGGCAGGGATGGGAGGCAGGTCAGCACGAGTTCGGGGCTCGCCTGTGACTGGGTTGCACTGAGATGCTGTCCTTCTCACGCAGGCTACCTGCTGCTGGGCCTCATTGCCATGTTGGTGGTTCTGGAAACCTTCTGTGAGCTCCACGAGCTGAAGAAATTCAGAAAAATGTTCTACGTGAAGAAAGACAAGGATGAAGATCAGGTGCACATTATGGAGCATGACCAGCTGTCTTTCTCCTCCATCACAGACCAGGCAGCCGGCTTGAAGGAGGATCAGAAGCAAAACGAGCCCTTTGTGGCCACTCCGTCTGCCTGTGCAGATGGCTCTGCAGGCCACTGAGCTTGGGCTGGGTGGGTCCTCCTGCAGCAGCAGGCCAGGTGTGTCCACTTCCAGGAAAATGGAAAGTCAAGATGAGGCCTTCTTAAGGGCACCTACAGTTTGTAATATTTTAAAAATGTGGAGCAAAAGTAGCTTTGACTCTGGAGGGGTGTCTGATATCTAGGGAGACCGAGCATACACCTGTATTTCACATACCACAAAACCATCTAGACCTGAGTAACAGGAGAAGAATACTCGAAGCCGTGTGCCGCATTGGGTAGAAGCAGATTTTATACTTTTAACTGGGAACTTTGGGGTTTGCATTTAAATCATTGAGTTGATGGCTAAATAGCAACATTTATATTTAAAACAAAAAAAAATGCCTTTTATAAATAGGTTTAAGTGTACCAGTTTGCATGTGCCCATCCAAAATGATTATTTTTATAGTATCTAAGTTAAACTTACTATTTATAATGACTAGGTTACCATTAACTATGTACAGCAAAAGTACAAATAGATTTATATCTTGTATATACAGTTAGGTCACCAGGTCCCACTGGACTTCTTAACCCCAGAATGTAGATAGTTTTGCTCTTGATTCTCTTTATACTAAAGAATCCAGAATTGCCGCAATAAGATGAGGGGGATAGTAAGTATAAGAGTGAATGCCCGTAGCATCTGTCACCCTGAATGTGCTGCTTTCGTAGGAGTGTGACCTCAAATGTCCAGGAGGTTTGTCAACACTTCTGTGGACGAGATCCAGCAAGAAAAAGCAGGATTCATCAAAAGGCTGAGAGGTTTTGTTTTGAGGGCCCGTTGTGATTCACAGCCACCAGGTCTAAAGCACAGAACTTGGACATGAAGATCCCAGATACTCACTTATGTCACACTAATCTGAGGATTTTACATTTAAAAGCTAAAATAAATAAAAATCTCTGCTGTTCGCAATCCTGTGCATTAATATATCCAATACTTCCTTTTGTGTATATAATATATATGTGTGTGAGTGCATATGTGTGAGGGTGTGTGTGTGTGTGTGAGAGTGTGTGTGAGTGTGTTGTGTTAGGGCATGTGTGAGTATGTGTGGATGAGTGTGTGTGTGAGTGCATGTGTGTGAGTGTGTGTGTGTGTGTGTGTGTGTGTGAGTGTGTCTGTGTGAGTGCGTGTGTGTGAGGGCGCATGTGAGGATGTGTGTGTGAGTTTGTGTGCAGGTGAGGGCATGTGTGAGTGCGTGTGTGAGTGCGAGTGAGTGCATGTGTGTGAGTGTGCATGTGTGAGTGTGCATGTGTGAGTGCGAGTGTATGCTTCTCTACAGAATCCATAGAGGTGGCTGGTAAATGAGGTACCCGGGACACTATGAAAAGTCACAGAAGGGACGATTAGGAAGCCCTGCATGATAACAAATGTCCAGTGCCCGCTAAGTGAGTCCTCAGGGTCCTGCTTGCTGCCCCAGAGGTGTTCCTAGGCCCTGCTGATGAGCAATCATGCCTTCTGCTCCTCAGTGACCACCCTCTGCACTGTGTGCCTCCGCGAGCAAACCGTTGTGTGTCATCCTCCGGGGGTGTCCCCGACTCCCAGCAGAGCCCTGTTTGGGGTAACAGCAGTCACCTCCACCCCACAGCCCCAGTGCCACTCCATGTCATCAGCAGGACTTCCCTGTGCTGCGGATCTGGGTCGTGCTGCCTCGTGGGCACTTCTCTTCCGTCCTGGCCATGACTCCATGGGGAAGGGGTCTCAGGGCAGATAGGAGTGGAGGAGAGCCGGGTGCCTCCTGGGAGAACAGAAGCAGGAGTGGTGGCCTGGCTGGGCCTGAGAGGGCAAGGGTGGTGCAGAGGCAGCCCTGAGGTCTGCACAGTGCCGCACAGGGGCCCTGGATGACCGTGGAGGGCGTCCTGCATTGGGCAGTGCGGGAGGAAATGGCTAGTTCGCTGCAGCTGCCCAGCTTTAAGGCAGAAGGGAGGCCAAAGTTCAGAGAATGAGGAAGACAGGCAGGGTGACTTCAGGGTCCAGGTGCCGTTGGTTGGTGAGTCTGGGGCCCTTCTGGCATGAACGTGCAGAGAATGCGTGGAACCTTGGTGTCCTTCAGCGGCTTGCTCCTGATGTGAAGAGTGAGCCACAAGGTTGAAGCAGGCTCCACCCCAGGGTGGAGAAATGCTGGGAGGGCATCTGCCCAGCTGGACAGGTACTGACCTTGGTCCCCAGGGAGAAGTGAGCTGGGTCAGCAGGAGGAGCATCATCAGCTTCTCACAGAACAGAAACCAGGCTGCTGGGGTGCGGGAGGGTTGGGTGGTGGCAGTGCAGTGCCTCCCTCTAGCCACAGGTGAGGGTGAGCAGAGGGAGGTGATGTCAGCATGGGAGCTTTCTGGACTCTGAGCATAAGCTGGATTCAGGGTCCCCTGCAGAGTGCCAGTGTCCAGATGGAGTGACCAGGATCCCACCAGTGCCTCAGTATGGAAATGCAGCAAATCCACTGTCCTGAGGGGGATGCTGCTCCACATGCATCAGGAGGCCATGCATGTTGCAGGGATGCAGATTTTGAAGTTGCACAAGCACCGCATGTGGAAGAGAACAGAGTATCTCAGCGTGTGTGACCTCAGCCTCCCAGAAACCCACAAGTTGGGACAGACCAAGGGATGCACGCAGTCTCTGCAAGAATCTGGTGAGAAAGATTGACCAGGCCCGCAGCCTGTGAGCAGATGAAGCTTGGCCTATACCACTCTGTTTATGAGCTGCTGTGTCTCAATCCATTTTGTGTTGCTGTAACAAAACACCTGAGTCTCAGTTATATACAAGAAAAAAATTTACTTGGTTCACAATTATTTTCCTGGAAGGTCCAAAGAGTGCAGGGCTGGAGTCCTGGCACAGGGCCTCTTGTCTGCATCATGATGAGGTTGAGAAGCGGAAGGGAAATGGCTATGTGTAAGCAGGGGGCGTGGCCTCAGGCCTCTCAGGTCAGCCTGAGATGTGCATGGGAATGCTCACCTGTGGCAGGAATGGACCCCTCTGCTGCACATGGGCTGAGCAATCACTTCTGATGCCTACAGGAAGGACAGCCTTATGGTTTGATCTAAAACATCCCAGTAATCATGAGCTGAAACCTCTGAGACAGTGATCCAAAGTAAATATTTACTCTTTTAAATTATTTACCTCAGGCATTTTGTCACAGCCACACAAAGCTGACTCACACATACAGAAACCTGACAGGGCAGAACCAGGCATTAAAGAGGCTAGCCTGAGGGCAGCACATTTATTTTAGTGTTATTTCCATAGTTTCCATAACAAGTTAAACTGCCTAATGTCCTCTGCTTAAGGAGATATTATAAGAAAAAATTTGAGGGATACATTCCAAGACCCCAGTGTCTCTCCCACCTCCCTTGCGGGCCGTGGAAATGGGGTTCTCCTTGGTGGCAGGGATGGCTGAGAAATAAAAGCCAGGAAAAACAGAACAATGAAAAAAACCACAGGATGCAGAAAGTAGTTTCAAAAGTGGGGGAGGCACGGGCAAGCCGACCAGGCGACTCTAGCTTCTGGACTCTGGCAAAATGGAGCCCTCATCTGCTTTATTTATACCCAGAACATCAAGGCCTTCCACTGAATGTTGTTCACCCAAAAGGGCTAATGGTGGGCTGTCCAGTTCCTAGTGCACTCCCGTCTCCAGAGCTACTTGGAGGGATCTTCTAGCAGAGGGGAGATACAGGTCACATGCATGGGCAATCTGTTGCCACAGAGAGTCCACAGTGCCAACCCTGAATCTCCCTGGCCTCCATACAGAGAAGAGACCCTGATGTAATTCACGGGTGGCTTCCTGCAGTGGTAGATGCCTGGAACCACAGATGGCGGGTCCCCTGGGTGCGGGGTGTGCTGTCCTGGGTTTGCATGCCCCACCGAGGAACAGGTGAAGTGCAGCGCTGTGGCAGTGCCAGATATTGACACCTGTGGCCCCAGCAGTGACTGACTCTCTGAGAAGGGCACTGGCTTCAAGGACAAGCTGGCAGCTGGCCTGTGGGAATGCAGCTGCACCGCCAGATGTCGGTGGAGGGACTCACTCAAAGACAAGAGCCTAACAACCTCGGCCCGTTTTCTCACTCCCAGGTGACCTGCACCTCGTCAATGACCTCGGGCGTCCTTGACGATGCCCCAGGAAGGGAGAAGCAAGTGGCTGTGTGAGCTGCCAAGTACCCAGCCACAGAGGGCAGAGTGGCTCCCCCATTGCCAGAGGTCGGACCCCGTCTGCTCGTTTCCCCTAGAACGGGACACCCGAGAGCTCAGGGTCACTACAGGCCACCCAGAGCCACTCAGACCCTGGGAAGTGCTGGACGTGCACATGCTTTTCCTGACTGCTCCATGCGTGAGCTGAAGACAGAGGTGTCACTGGTGGGGGAAGAGGACAGAGGCCCCTGGGGAGGTGATGCTCCGTCTGCGGAAAAGAAAACAGATCCCATCTCAGCCTCCAAACTCCTCTCAAAGCCTCAGCCTCCCTAACTATCTTCATTCTAAGCAGTGCCTGGCTCGGGAGAACCGCTGCCTTTTTAGGTGAACAGGTGGGGAGAAGATCAAATCCCACATCGTGTGCACACTTAAGTTTTGACCTGTCGCTCCCAGTTCCTTTGGGTACCTCCATGACCCCAAGCCTCCTGGATCATACACAGGACCCCATCAGCAGGCAGGGGTGGTGAAGGGTCGCCTCAGAAGCCTGTGCTTCAAAGTCCGAACCAGTCAACTATCAAAGGGTTTAGTTCTCGTGAGACCCAAGCCCACTGCATGTGTCAGAGGTCAGGTGTGACAAGAAGAGGGACTTCCCAAGTCAGTAGATGAGATGAGAAATGCAGAGAAATCTGAGGAGACTGGGCTGGGCAGACACATCCCCTCCACCAGCTGCTGTCAAGGAGAATAAATCCGACCCAATTAGCAGCACAAGGTCAGTCAATTCCAGGGCTGACCTTGTCCTGCAGTGTCAGCAAAACAAGGACGACTTCACAAGAAGACGAGGGCCTTCAATGTTGGGATGGAGAGGAAAGGTTTGTGGGGCAGCTGATCCTTGGAGGTCATGTCAGCTTTCTGTCACTGTGACCTGAATACCTGACATGAACAGAGCAGGAAGATTTATTTTGGTTCGTAGTTTCAGTTTGTGGTGGGCTGGTTCGTGCTGTGGGAAGAAAACTGCTCACTTCCTGGCAGCTGATGGGAGAGAAAGATAGAGAGAGAGGGTGGGGAGGGAGAGAGAGAGAGAGAGGGAGGGAGGGATAGAGGGAGAGAGATGGAGAGAGAGAGAGGGAGAGGGAGAGGGAGGGAGAGAGAGAAGGAGAGAGAGGGAGGGAGGGATAGAGGGAGAGAGAGGGAGAGAGAGAGAGGGGAAGGGACTGGGTGAGATCTACCCCCGCAGAGAAGGCCCCAGTGACCTACAGCCTCCGACTAGGCCCCACCTACTGCAGCTCTCAATAACACCATCAGGTTATCAATCCACCCAGGTTAGCCCGTGTCGAGGCCAGAGCCCCAGGGTCCAGTGGCTTCAGAGCCCCACCTCGACCTGCTGCACTGGGGACCAAGCCCTCAGGACGTGAGCCTTTGGAGGCATCTGAGACCCAAACCACAATGGGCAGAAGGAGACCAGCACAGGCCAAGGTGAAGGCCACAGCTGGGCACCGGCAGTGCAGGGTCCTGGGTCTGATGCCCGGGCTTTGCTCTGGTTGTGGGACCTTTGTCAAGCTTCTCTGCTTCCTCTTCCCCATGATCCCCTGGGTGCAGGTCTTAGTGATATGCAGAAAAGCAATTAGCACAGACCCTGGCTCCGCACGCATCATAACAAAATCCAGCTGCCAGGCTTGTGTAAAAACCACTCTGAGTGTAGAAATTAGAGCATTTACGCATTCAGTAATGATAATATTGGCAACCAAAGTACCAATAGAGTGTCAATATAGTAGTGAAAAAAAAAAAAAAACATTTGTTGG